TATAAAAAAAAAAACATCTAACAATAAATAAATAAAAATGACAAAAGACTTTTTTTTTTTCCATTAGAAAATATGCCTAAATTCAACCAAATTTCTTGCAACTTTGAGTACCATGTGCAATTTTGTCTATGGCAATATCTTTTGTTCACCTAAATGTACCCCCTTTAACTGGTGAAACAAACTTTATTACTGCTCACTACCAAAAGGTAAAAGCAGACTATTGTGTTTGTGTCAATAAGCATAAAACACTGGATACATTTTAATGAAACACAGAAAGTAATCATATGCACATCTATAACTGATTACATTTTGGGGTCAACCCAGTTCAACATAAATGAGCTAATAAACGTAAGCCAATAAAAATGACTATTAATAGCTCAATTTAAGTTGTTTTTACACAGATAAAATGTATTAAAAACTAATATATTGTCACTGAACGAGCCAGAGAAGGTGATGACAGATGTCAGGCTGGTTTTCTGTTGGATCCTCAGAGGAAATCTTAAGCCTTTCAAAGTGAACTCGGTGTATAAACGGCAGAGAGGAGCACAGTGATGGTTCTTTTTATCCTCATTACTGAAATTGTTCTGAGAATAAAAGCTGCTGCATGCTGAAAGTGGTTGGATAGCTGTCCAAAGAGTCTATAATGAAGAGCAATTAGAGACGTTTAGAATGAAAGCTTGGCATTCGTTCTGGTGTTCACGTCCAAAACAAGGACGACCTCAGCTGTTTTTCCCTCTCTGCTGATACAAACTACATTTATAATGAGTTAGGCATTTACTCAACACATAAATTGGTTTATTTTATTGCAATTATAAATTCATACACATCAAAAATGTACAGCAGTTAACTTTTTTCCACCTCTGTTATGTAACTTAAATAAGCGTAAAGTGAATTATTGTTTTTATGAAAGAAAAGTATATTTAATTTAAGAGCACCTTTATTTCAATTTTAATAAATACATAGATTAAAATCACTAGGACAGCAATGCTGTGCCTATACAACTATCTGGCTGTGCAGTTGTGATGTTTTTCTGGTAGGCTATTTTGTTTGATTCCCTGAGTTCATATTTTAGTCTTGTTGTTTTTGTGGTTTTATTAGTTCTTTAGGATTCCCTTTGCCAGTTCTTTTTCACCCTCAGTTAGTTTATTCCTTAATCGGCCACCCACCTGTGCCCACTTCATAATCACCCAGGTGCTTCCATTTTTCCATTCACCTCTGCTCTACAGAATCAGTCTCTGGTTCACTACTCATCAGTTCTGCATTGGTCCACCATGTATCAAGGAGCCCTTTGGCTTCTACAGGTGCTGGTCATAAAATTAGAATATAGTGAACAAGTTTATTTATTTCAGTAATTCCATTCAAAAAGTGAAACTTGTATATTATATTAATTCATTACACACAGACTCGTATATTTCAAATGTTTATTTCTTTTAATGTTGAAGAGTATACCTGACAACTAATGAAAACCCCAAATTCGGTATCTCATAAAATTAGAATATTGTGAAAAGGTTCAATACCGAAGATACCTGGTGCCACACTCTTAATTAGCTAGTTAACTCAAAACACCTGCAAATGCCTTTAAATGGTCTCTCAGTCTAGGTCTGTAGGCTACACAATCATGGGGAAGACTGCTGACTTGACAGTTGTCCAAAATACAACCATTGGCAACTTGCACAAGGGGGGCAAGACACAAAAGGTCATTGCTAAAGAGGCTGGCTGTTCATAGAGCTCTGTGTCCAAGCACATTAATAGAGAGGTGAAGGGAAAGACAAGATATGGTAGAAGAAAAGTGTACAAGCAATAGGAATAACCGCACCCTGGAGAGGATTGTGAAACAAAAAACATTCCAAAATGTGGGGGAGATTCACAAAGAGGCAGCACGGTGGTGCAACTGGTAGGTAGAGCTGCTGCCTCTCAGCGAGCAGGTCCCTGGTTCAAATCCCAGTCCGGGGGTCTTTCTGGGTTGAGTTTGCATGTTCTCTCGGTGCATGCGTGGGTTTTCTCTGGTTGCTCCGGTTTCCTCCCACAGATCCAAAACATGCATGTTAGGTTGATTGGTGACTCTAAATTGTCCCTAGGTGTGAGTGAGAGAGTGAATGGTTGGTTGATTGTCTCGTTTGTCTCTATGTGGCCCTGTGATGGACTTGCGACCCGTCCAGGGTGTACCCCGCCCCTCGCACAGTGATTGCTGGACATGGGCACCGGCGACCCCCATGACCCAAAATGGAAGAAGCAGGTAAAAGATAATGGATGGATGGAAGATTCACAAAGAGTGGACTGCAGCTGGAGTCAGTGCTTCAAGAACCACCATGCACAGACATATGCAAGACATGGGTTTCAGCTATTGCATTCCTTTTGTTAAGCCACTCTTGAACAAGAGACTTCGTCAGAAGCGTCTCGCCTGGTCTAAAGACAAACAAGGACTGGACTGCTGCTGAGTGGTCCAAAGTTATGTTCTTTGATGAAAGTAAATTTTGCATTTCCTTTGGAAATGTACATGTATCACTTCTATTTATGTGCTATGCTGTGGTAGTTTTTTGATGCCTCAAATCGTGCCCTGTCTAGGACTAGGTGTGAGAGATCTTTTTACAAAGTATCTCCTCACGTTTTCTTCCCTTTTCTCATCTAAGCAAAAATATTATTTTTAATAAAAATAAGAGGGCCGCGCTTATAGCAACAGCTTTGTGCACTACGTCCATCTTTCGGACGACTGTACGTACATGTTCTCGTTGTATCTCAGTGCAATGATAATAAAGCTTATTCTGAAATCAAGGTCCCAGAGTCTGGAAGGAGAGCGACAGAATCCATGTTGCTTGAGGTCCAGTGTCAAGTTTGAGTGCTGTACATGCTCGTACTTGAAACGCAATGGGATTGACCTGTATAAATAAATGTTGCATGAGCTCATTCTTTTCAGTTGGCCAACATTTCTAAAAATCCTTTTTTTATTATTAGTGGTCTTAAGTAATATTCTAATTTTCTGAGATACTGAATTTGGGGTTTTCATTAGTTGTTGGTTATCATTAACATTAAAAGAAATGAACATTTAAAATCTATCAGTCTGTATGCATTGAACGAATAGAATATACAAGTTTCACTTTTTAATGGAATTACTGAAATAAATCAACTTTTCATGGTATTCTAATTTTATGACCAGCACCTTGAAATGTTACAATACAGTCAGGCTCACACAAAATGTAGAAAAGATTTATTAGTTTTTACAGGATATTAAAAAAAGAACTAGTTTTTTTTTAATCATGTGTGAAACATTTAAGATCAGAAACGAACATGTCCCATCATCACACCACCAACCGAAGCGTCACCTGGGCTGACGTCGGTACAGAAGTCACCCTTTATGACTGCTCACTTGGACACAGCAGCCTGAGGAGTTTCAACCTGAGCTTAGAACAACAACCCCGTGAATATTGTGCATTAGCTAATGACTTTAAGCTGCTGACTGCAGCTGCAGTGCACTCCCATATTTTACCAGATAATGACTTAAATGTCCTGCAGAAATACATCCATCGAACACTGCAGCCAAAAAATAAATATATACTTTAAGTTAAAAAGTAGGCACATATCACAGAAAAGTATGAAAGATTGATCTGAAAGAGAAAAAAAAGCACCTATCAGTGATTAAAAAATATGCATTTAACTTAGAAATCAATTAACAGTTTAATTACAACCGTGTAAAATCACTTAGTCAGTTCCATGTATTGGCAGTACCCAGAAACACTGGCTATAAAAAATACAGCATTAAAAAAAAAAGATTTTCATAGTTCCTTCTGCAAACTCATTGTATTTATTTATTTTTCTAACATAAGTCATTCCTCTTGTTTTGTTTTTTTTTCAATAGTGTGTTATTGCAGTATATTCAACCTCAAATGTTAAAGGAAAAAAACTAAAAATATATTAAAGGATAAATTGATTTACAGTTGAAGATTTTTTTTTTTTTACAAACCATTGCAGGCAAGTGGAGTGCATGAACCAAATGCATAAAATTAAAGGTACTCACTGCAAGTTATAAAGACTAACCAGAAAAAAACAAAAACAAAAAAAAAAAACAATCTGTACAATAGTTTCTTGTATAAATAGTTGATTTGTCCTTAAATGAAAAATGTGTAAGCAAAATCAGTGAACGGCTTCCAACTCCCACAAGCATTTGTTTACCTACGGAAACAGCCAGAGACTGAAAACAAGTCGACCATGGCAACGTCCATAAGAGCCGTTTGTATTGACTCATATTTATGTTCAGATTTGTTGCGTAAAGTTTGCAGGTAAGTTTCTGCGAATTCAGCCGAGTGCTTTGTTGACATTCAGCATGGACCCACATTTCAGAACTGCTTATCAATATAAAGGGAAACTACTCATTCATATCAGAGTTCATGCTCAATAATCCAGGTATAAAATCCAACAATGTTCAGTCAGGTCATCTGGACTGTTTCTTTCTTTTGTGCTGAGATGTTTCATCCTTCATCCAAAGGACTTCCTCAATCTGAGAAGCCACCAAACAAAACTGATTCCCACAAACATCAGTTTTGTTTGGTGGCTTCTCAGATTGAAGAAGTCCTTTGGATGAAGGACGAAACGTCTCCGCACAAAAACAAACAAACAAAAAAACCATCCAGATGACATGACTGAACATTAATAGTTTGCAATGAGTACCTTTTAATCAAATATTTGGACTTACCTACTTATTGATGAGACGTATCCAATGCTGGCACAAAATACTGTAATGTTTGAGACTTGTGCAGTTTTCACTACATGCAAACATGGCTGTTTCAGATGGGTTTCATTCATAAGTTAGAAAATATGAGAAAATATTCATTAAAGGCTCCACGTGTAACTCGCACAACGAAAGCCTTTGAAAGGCCTGGCTCAACATTTGTGATGCATTTCAATAAAAAAAACTTTTTTTTAATGTTTTATCACAGTCCTGCAATGCACAGGTTTTAAGAGTTTTCAGTAGAGTCCTGTTTGATCATCACACATGATCTTTTTTTTCTGTTCTTTTGTTTCAGTCTTCATATTCATGGCAGTTTTTTAGTGGCACAGTGAGCTCTGGTGGATTCCAGTGGAAAAGCATAAGCAGCATCATTGCTACCTGGATGCATCTGGGATGAGTTTTTTAAACCAGCGGCCCACGGCCATGTCGACTCTCAGCACTAACGTGACTCCAATCAGCAGAGATGTGCTGCTCACCAGGAACCCCAAGGCTTCAAACATTAACCTGGAAGGACAAAACAAACCATGCTCATGTCCAAACTATCCCAACCAAGTCCTTCAGAACACAAGCATTAATTAGAACATGGGGCTGTGAATTTATAAACAACTACCCTATTTTTCAGCCTATAAGTCACCTTTTTTGCATAATTTGCATGCCCTGCAACTTATACGCCAAAGCGACTTATTTATGAAATTTTCCCCATATTTATAAAACAATTTTTGGTTGAGATATGACCATTTTAATTCATTCTGACTGAAAATATTGAACACTACCATTTTCAGCCTTTACATGGCACTCGAGTAGTATGGCATGCTCTTGTGTCATGTAATAGGTAAGTGGCTATTAATGAATTGGCTTGGCCACCTTCATCCAGCTCGCCTGGAGCAAACGTCAAATCAGCTTAATTTCGCTGCGCCGCCCCGGAGATTCAGCTGATTTGATCATTAAAGTGCATTTATTAAGTAAAAGTTCAACTGAGACACACCTTTGCTATAAAGTCGAGCCAACAAATGAATGTTTTTAGATGGTTATCTTATTAAATTTCTAAAAAAATGCACAGCGAGTCCTCATGTGCACGTGCCTACTTCCGCGTATTAAGTCCTCCCATGCATGTACATTTCCGGGTTGTGATGCATAATAGATGCGACATATACGGCAAAGCGACTTATTTATGTATTTTTCCACTTTATTAGACTTTTTTTTGACTGATGCGACTTATAGGGTGGTGCGACATATACGGCAGAAAATACGGTACACCTAGATTCTGTAAGGCGCGTTTACTGAAAAGTCTAGTGGCTTCCAGTTATAACCGTGTCCAAATTCTCAGAAGTCAGTACTGAGAGTTGGAAAATCCATTCAGGCACTTACTTGGGTGCAAAGACCTTCCACACCATTAGGTGTCTCCTGAGAATTGCAGCAGCGCAAACTGATGAAAAGACCTGTGAAGAAAGATGAGACACTGAGTGCTGTTTGATGCACTACTGAATCATATTTAATAAAGAACATGATTCCAGGTAAAAGGAAAAAGAAACTCGCATTACCTTAAAATAACAACTTAATACCATCTCATATTCTGCTTGGCTAAATCATGTTTCCCATTAGTGGGAAAAGAGGAAAACTGGTTCTACTTTATGAATCTGATCAAAGTGAGTGACTGATGACAAACCTGTGCTCCAAGAATAAAGAGGTAGCGTGTTGAGAGTTGCAGAAGGGCAGAGCTGAACTGCTGGGGGTTTTCTCTCAGCCTCATTTCCATCACGGCATCCTCACCTTCCTCCCCCCTTCTGCTCCCACGCACCTCACGCACTTCACGCACCAGAGGCCAAAACAGCAGTAATGGACAGCTCACTGAAGACAAGGACAAATAAATAAATAATCTGTATTGTACCAAACTAGTGAAAAGGCCTGTTACGATAACAAATTTTTCTGGGCGATTGTCTCAGAAATTATTGCGATAAACGATAATATTGTTTGAAGTTTGACAATTAGTAATTATTGTCAAATTTAAGAAGACATGTTTGTTAATTTGTTTTGTGTGTAGTACCTTTTTTCGACCACCAGATGGCACTATAAGACTGTTTAAACCGAAAGATGGATAGCGAGGGAGCGAGCAGCGTGTCTCTTTAATAAAAATGGGAGAGAGGCCCCTTGACGTGACACGGGCTGCCTCTACTTCCTTTATTCGGTTCTCGAAATGGCGGACGCTCGGTGTGGTTGGAACTCTTTCCCATAGCATTTTTCACACAAAGCTTTTTTTTTTTTTTTAATAAAAAAAACAGTAAACAAATTCTCAGCTTATTTTTGCAGCAAAACAACTTTTTATACGAAGGCACGGGTTTCAACTGAATTTTGGAGCTTCGACAAGACGGAGGTTCTCCCCCCCCCCAAAAAACAAGATTTTGGATCGTTAAAATTGATTTTAAAGAGAAAAAAGAAAGGGAGGGGTCAGTGAAGAGCACCGGAGTCGAGCATTTTGTCATCCAGTGTCTTCAGTAGAAAGAGAGTCACGAAGAAACGATAAATCCGATAAATGAAAATGAGGTTGACACTTTTCATTTATCATGCGATTAATTGATTTATTGTTTATCGCGACAGGCCTACTCTTTGATCACTTAAGCTTCTTTTCATGAAGGACTGAGTGTGTTAAAAAAAGTACCTGCAAATAGGATGTTTGAAGCAAATGTGTTGAGGAGAACCAGTAGAGCAGGTAATACGGTGCCTGTATGTCCATCAGGGAATCCCACAAAGGCAGCACCCCACTGAATGGAGGGAAAGGTGGGCAGGTGACCAGTGGCATGGAAGAACTGTGTGACAGCTAGCGACCACACCACTACAGGAGCCCAGGGCACATTAAAATCACCTGAGGGAGGAAGTGAGGTGAGTAAGCAGCTTGTTTATAACCATGAATAAAAAAAAATGTGTATTTGTGAACATCTCACCAGAGGGAGCTCCATGCATGTCACTGAGGGTTGTGGAAGAGGCATGAATGTGCAACAAGGCTCCCATTTCTAGCAGCAGCAAGAGAAAAGACAGAGCCATTCCCTCTGGGTGCAGCAGCAGCAGTCCTATTCCCAACATGCCACAGAACAGCAGCACGGGGGCGGAGTAGACTGTTCCCAGTCCGTAGGCCTCCACAGTGGGACGGTTGTCTGCCTCAGTGCCTCCACTGAGCTCTACGGCATCCAGGGAGCTGCGCATGCGCTGGTAGATCTGGGGGATCAGATGGCGCAGTTCGGCTTGGGGGCTGATGCCGGTGCTTGCTCTGTAACGGGGCGTGGAGAGAACCGAACTTCTGGAGGAAGCTGCGGTCCTGCTCTTCACAAACACGGTGATGGGGTCTAGCCAGATCAGACCCAGCCCGAGTCCCAGAAGACAGAAAGCGGCCCGCGGGAGGGACAGCTGAGCCATTCGGATCAGCTCAGCCAGCTTCCTGAAGCTATCCTCCGAAGTGGCACTAACTGCCCAGTGCAGCGCCACGCACACGGACAGCAGTGGCAGAATCCAGTGGGCTGTGAACACAGCTCCACTTGAGGAGTTGAGATTACCGTAGTGGCACAGACAGTGCCGCAACAGATACGTGCAAACGCCAAGAGAGATGACGGAGAGAACGTAGTACAGGTTCTTCAGCTGGTTGTCCAGCAACCGCGAAAGTGGAGAAAGGAATGGCGACGGCTGGCAGAAGCCCTGCTCCTCTCTGCAGCCGTGAAAGTAGAGGGAAAGGTACACGCTGCCGAGAAGAACACCAACGCAGGCGAGGAGAATGTTGCTTTCTCTCCTCACTGTTGACGGGGACAAGACTGGGGAAGGTAGCAGCCCAGCAGACTTCAGCGGGTTGAGGCTTTGTGGGAAAAGCACATCTTTCCAGTTGAGATGGATGGGGATATAGAGAACCAATGAGAGGACTAGAAAAGTTACAACACGGCCTTCTGCAATCACGTAGCTATCGGAGAGCAGAGCGGCACACCGGATGAGTGGCGCCACCAGAGGAGGGATGAGGAGATGGCGCGGGGTCAACCACCTGGAGAGCTTTGCAGCTTTAGCTCCATTCTTTGACACGGCGGGGGCTTTGAGCCGACAAGCTCTCCAGAAGAAGGGAACTTCAGAGCTGAAAGCACCAGCTGCCAGGCACCACGCTGCCTCAACGTAGCCCCGTGTGAGCAGCTGAGCAGCAGCGGCACAAACTCCCACTGTGAGCGCCACAAGAACTGGCACCTTCAGTCCTGAAGCATTCTCCGTTATCAGCAGCAGGGAGAGTTCAGACATCACAAAACACATGAGGCAGGCAGACGACAGGATGGCTAAACCTGCTGCCATCTTTAGTGGGTTAAATCGAGCCCATGTAGCGCGGCAGGTGTCTCTGACTGAGGTGAGGTAGGCCTGCAGCGAAGAGGCCAGGTGTAGGGGGGGTGATTGACCCTCTTTAACAGAGGTGAGGTACTCAGAGGAGAGACGGGCAAATTCCTCTTTCAGCTGTGAGAGGCTCTCTGGTGGGATATCTTTGGCCATACCAGAGTATGTCTCCAGGAAACGGTTAACCTTCAGAAACAGACATAAAATTGAAAACAAATACAATTACTTAACATGCTTCAGGATATGTGAAGGAAATAATGCTGTCAGAGAGGAAAATGAAAACAGTGCTGATTAACCTTGTTTTTACTCAACACACTACCTGCTTTGCGTTGATCCACAGCGCCTCCAGCTGGCTGAGAACTCCAACTGCACCTCGTGTTTGCTCGTGCAGAGGGAATAGAGGCAGCAGGACCTGCCCTACGCTGCTGTATGGGATTGGGACCCCCAACAACAGAGCCAGGGTGGGCACAAGGTCTGTCTGTGGAACCACATCTGGTTCGCTCTGTAAATGAAGCGGAATAAAATAAATGCCATGTTTCTGATATCCAAAACTACAACAATACATGAAATATTAAGAATTTCTGTTTAACTTCTAAATATCACATGGAAATCTTTAAAATAGGATGTTCAAATATGTGACAAATATTTTGAAGACATAATGAAAATTCTACTTTGAATAGATTTCCCTGCATTTAAAGAAAAAGGCAAAGAAGTTTCAAATTGACTTTTAGCTTTACTGCATAATTTGACACAAGAATAGATGTAACTATATAATAAAGGGTATAGTCATACTTTAAACCCATGTCTTGCAATATGATTTGATTATTTCTTGTTAAAACTGACTGAAGCTTCTATGCTCACCTGAGGCGGGGGTGCTTGAAAGATAGGGGACGGACTGTAAAGGAAGAGAGCAGCATCGGTCTCCTTCTGACTTTCTCCTCCATGATCTCCATTGTCCGTCATCCCATGATCTCCCATCACCACCAAGAGGGTGTCATTCTGCAGACGGTCAATCACAGACCTGGACAAAGAGAACAAATATGAACAGTTATTAGGACAATGTCTGAGGGTTCAGTAAAACCATTAGGTTCTCACTTTCAAACCAGCTAGTATCTCTCTATATGCATCATGACTTGGTGAAACAGGCAACCCTTCCTCAAACTAAAGACAAACTGAAGGTGCAATGTGTGTAGCAGCTATACTTTTGTCTGACCTGATGACACCATCCATCTGGGTGAGCTTGTCAGCCATAGCCGGGTGGTCGGGGCCAAACCTGTGACCACAGTGATCCACTCCAAGAAAATGTGCAAGCAGGATGTCCCAATCATCACCCACCACTATGTAAATCAAGATAAACAGACATAAAAATTAACGAAGTGCAAACAAATGGATGGCATTAAATATGTACACAATGACTGTTGAGGTTAATTACATACTAGTTGTGTAAAGGTGCTGCAGGATGCCGTTATCCACAGTGTGCAGATCCTTGACATTGAAAGAAGGGAAGGGCAGAGAGCGGTGGAACTTCTTAGGAAAGAGACTCTCCCAAGTGTCATCGCCCATGAACACCACCCGTTTGCCTGTGAGGGGGATGCAAGTTTCACAAGCACAATAAAAGTTTTTTTTATTTTTATTTAGCATACATGAATAAAATATTAGCTCCAGAAAAAAAGTTTTATCGTCTTAAAGCATTTTGTATGATAGCTTTTGAATGTGAAACTCACCCATTTGCCCAAACTGGTGGATGAGGTTGTCCTCCAAAATGGCACTGGATGCAAAGTTATTACCTACATCCACAAAGGTCGGCAAGGATCCGGTTGTGAAGCCCTTGATTCTCTGCATGGTGGTCGTAGGTGGGTCTGCTCGGAAGGGGTACAAGCGGCTTTGAAGAGGCTTGGATGAGACGTTCTCCTCCAGCACTGGCAGCTTGTTCTCATAGGGTCGTGGCGCCGTGTTGCTGGGGTCAAAGCGGGCGAAATCAACCTTCAAGGCGTCGATGATGAGGACGACAGCCCTACGGAACCGCGGCTGGGCACGGCAGAAATCACCTGGCTCCTCTCCGGGATACAACACGTCTCCGCACGTGCTGGTCCTGTTCACCTCCAGCCTCACCAGCAAGAAGCCGCCCAAGAAGAGGTAGATACCCACAAAGTACACGGCACACAACCAAAGGAGCAGGGACAGCACTGGCAGTCCCTTCATCCTAAACGAGCAGTAAGGGAACACAATTATCCTGCATCATTTTAAATCGGCATATGAGAACTAATATCAGTGACTTTAAGTGATGATAAACTCTACAGCTCACGGAAACCATTAAGTCAAGTGTAGCGGGGAAAGGTGTAAAGATAAACAGGTAAAACTAGCTAACGTAGAGACGCATAAACGGTCAATATAATGTTGTTAGCAGGGCTAGCTCGCCTCTTTTCTGCCACTGACCTTGTAGCGGTTGAGTTTCCGTCCTCTCTGAGCCGGAGGACAAAAGTAAATGTGTGTGTTAATAACACAGGAGTGCAGGTGTCTCGTGTAAACAGAGAACGAACTGCACGTTCACCTTCATTGGGACAGGTACAGTGGGGTTTCAGGTAGGAACTATAAGTACTGGTTACGCGGCGGAAATTCACGGCGGACAGGTTTTTCCATAACACCAATTTCCGTTATGTTTTTGAGTCCCAGAGTTTCGGCTTTCAGGTAACTCGTACTCGGAATTGGTAGAAGAAGCAAACCTATTAGTGTAATACGATTATAAAACACATTATTTAAATACATTTATTTGGGATATTTTGTTTAAATAAGTTTTAGTTTAAAATTATTATAAAGCAGCTGCTCTAGCCTTCAAGGCAACGTAAAGGGAATAAATAATACACAAATTTAAATTCTATGGAGTATTTGAAATGACCAAATTGTAATTACAAGAATTTAAGTTTCTTGAATAGATTTTGTACCACACTAAATCTTAATGCTCCGATGTATTTAAGCATGTTTCTGCTGTTCTGTAAGTGTACTCTGTAATATGCAAGCGAATGCAAATATGCAGAGAATAGGATCTGAAATATATTAATTACAAAGCAATAATTTTATCTAGATTAACCATCACATGCAATTTAATTTTACTTTGTTGATAAAACATAGGTTGCCACCAACTTCTCAGATACGTTGACACACTTGGCATGTGACTTATGTATAATAGTTTTAAATAGGAAACATATTCGTTTCATTAGATATTATTGTAGTTTTATGTGCATAAGTTTTTAGCCAACAAATTGTTGTATAATTTGTAATGGACCACATTTAAAGTTAATCTGACTTCTCCTTAAACATTAGCTCTTCTTTTTCAAACTCATTCATTTTGTTCAAGTTCAAGTGAATGATTTATTCTTTTTAAAACAGTTCAACGTGGTAAACAGCAATTGCTATTTTTATAATTTTCATTTAAAACATAAACCAAATTATTTACCAAAAATGTATATTAGTTAAGGTGTTGTCACTGAAAAAAAAAAAAAAACGTATATAAAAATGTGATGCTTCCACTGAGCTCATTTTATAACGAACAATTACACATAAACTAGTTTGAGTAAATTTTGGAGAGAAAACAAACAAAAAAAAAAAAAGAGTACACATCAAAGACACATTTGTAGTCAGTGAATCTGGTTGAATGGTAAGATTTATGCTTCAACATTATAGGGACAAATATAATGCATGTACAGGAAGATGAATCAATGACTGGGCCAACATTTCCATCAGTCACAGGTATAAAAAATAAAACCTATAGGATGGTTTTAGATCCCAATCAAACAATAATAAAAATTAAAAAAAAAACAGGGAGAATCTTCAAACATAAAATGTGATATCCTACTGAGCAGGACATCAGACCACTTCAGAAAGTTTGTTTTTCCTGTTTGGTCTTGTCAAGAGAAGGTTTGTGAACACGGCTTACAAAAAAACATTTAGACTTAATCTGGTGCTTTGTGTTTAATATTCTGAGTTTAGTCAGTTCTTTGCTCTTCAGGGATTTCCGACTCTTTCCAAATCTCCTTTTTCTCCTCCACCACTTCTAGGGATGGTGCTGCGTTCGCCTTTGCCAGTGTACTGTAAATGGTCATAGCCTGAATGACAAGGGAACAAGTTAACACAAGTGTCATAACTACTTGTACTCAGTCCAGTTAATGCTTTGAAAATGATCAGACGCAGAAGTGCATGAACACAAACCTGTGTTACCATTCCACTGACATCACCAGTATTAGAGGGCAGAAGGATTGTGTTAGATTGTTTGGCCAGGTTGGAAAAGGCTGACACATACTGTTCAGCAACGCTCAGTGAAGCAGCTGCATTTCCATTCTGTAAAATGCACACACAAACATTGTAAAAATTAACCCCAAAATATCCATTACCCATACATAGACTTTGTTCACTGTTACTGAAAAAAAAGAGAAAAACATATTTACTTGCTCAGTCAGAGCATCGGACAGCATGCAGATTGCCTTCGCCTTTGCCTCAGCTCTGGCTAAGACTGCTTGGGCTTCACCTGGAGAAAACACAGTAATCCATCATCTATGTTTATAAATCCTACACATGATTTAGCTCACAAGTAAGAAATTAGTCCTCATAATACACCTACCAGCTGCTTTGTTGATCTGCTCTGCTTTTTCACCTTCTGAGGCCAGGATCTGAGCTTGTTTACGACCCTCGGCAACATTAATGGCTGCCTCTCTCGTCCCTTCAGACTCCAGCACAGTGGCTCTCTTTTTACGTTCAGCCTCCACCTTCACACACAAAATGTAATGTTTTATCTGTGATTTAAACTACGCTACTTTCCCTAAAGTCTCATAATTGAAGAGCATTTTCTAGACTACTTGAGTGACTGAAATCTGCATTCTACAAAGCTGTATTCCGTTTCTCACCTGCATCTGCATGGATTCTTTGACTCGAGGAGGAACGTGAATATTTTTGATTTCGTACCGGAGGCAGCGGATACCCCATTCATCCGAAGCTTGGTTGATGGAGTGGACAATGTTGGAGTTGAGGGACTCTCTTTCCTTGGACATACAGAACACATCATTTCAACTTTTCATGTACAAAAACAAAAGGATTTAAGATACAGCGGTAGTTTGTCTTTACCCGGAACACTTTGTCTAATGCCAGTTTGCCCAGTTCTGATCGCATAGTGGTTTGTGCCAACTGAGTGACTGCATACTCTGGATCTTCAACACCATAGCTGGCCTGGGGGAAGGGATAAAGGAGATGTTAAAAGCACTGATGTATTATGTTGGTAAGAGAAATAAATGTAATTAAACGGACTATTACTGGTATGCCAGCATACCTTAAAAGGGTCTAGAATCCTTAAGTAAAGTACTCCATCAATCTGTAGTGTTACATTATCTGGAGAACAGTGAGGGGTAAAAGTGAAACGGTAATTAGATAAGATGTGAACAAAAAATTGATTGTGTCTCAGAATGAGAAGTAAGTCTGTTGGCAAAGATGATTTTCATTGTTCAAAGATGAACTGCCTTAAATTCCTTATGAGGATTAAACAAGCAATGGATTACTCACCTAGAGATACTGCAGACTGTTCTGGGACATCAATCACTATTTCTTTAAGACTTTGCACGTAACGAATTTTGTCAAGAATGGGTATGAGGAAGTTCAAACCCTAGAGGTAGTAAGAGGAAAACAGGTTAGATTGTGTAGAACTGGTTTGACATTCTAATCTTACTTTAACCAGCACAATGTTCAAAAAAAAAAAAAAGAAAAAGAAAAATGGTATTTAAAATGTACAATAAGTAACACATTTAAACTAGTGGGCTTATACATGACCTAACAAACAAATGCTTATTTTAATTGTAGGTAAATTTTAAAAGGCTCATACTGGCTCCAAGATACGATGGAAACGACCCATCCTCTCCACCACCCAGGCTTCTTGTTGGGGTACAAACAGTACCAGAGTGTTCACGGGCAGACTGGAGGCCCATCTCTGCTGGGCCGGTGTTACCCACAGCTTTGGCGCAGTTCGCTGGGCTTGCTACAGAAACAAATAAGCGAAACAGCTAAAGAACTTAAACAATACATTTTGGATAATCACAAGAAAAGACATTTAAAAAGTCAATCAGCAGTTTAAAATAAGAGCAACGCATTCATTCATTCAACCTTTATTTATACAGGCTAGCCTCATTGAGCCACGGGGACTAATTTGCAAGAGGGACCTGTTCCAGACAGAACATATAAAGTACAGACAACAAAACAGTAAACAATAGCAATAAACTACAGTAAAAATGCAGTTAACATAAGAGAAATGAGCAAAACAATAAATCAGGGTACCGTAAAACAGGGTGAAATACTAAAAAAACAAGAACATAGCTCTTTTAGATTGTGTGGTTTGTCAAAAATGGTTGCCAAACCAGTTTTTTTTCCTAAATAATAATAATACAATTCCAATTAGAACAAAAAGGCAGTATTTTAGCTTTGTTTTTACAAGTAAATTATTAGGAAATAGACTCGTTTTTTTAAAATTGCTTGGAACAAAATGCTCTTGATCCAAATTAAAACTGATTATTCACTGCAGACCAGACTACTAGTGTAACATTTTGTGTGCTGAATGACGCACTACCGGCGGTTTGGTTCACAAGCTAACTACTAGCGTAGCAAACAGCTAGCTTACCTGCAAAATGGCCCCACTCCTCCGACACAACGTTCGCAACATTATTTTATAAATCAAATGTGCCAAAGTAAAAAAATAAATAAAATGCAGACTAGTTTACTGGACTTGATATGAACCGTGAACTCACGAGAGTCACCCTCGTCAAAGAGGAAATGCAAAGTTACATCAGTAGTGCGACGCTGAAAAACCTCCGCCGAAACGACAAACAGACACCGTTGTTGAGCGATGGTTCCGCTAGAAATGTAACTACAGCTTGTAAGTTTTAAACTGTAAATAAGCTCTGTTTAACACTTTTGTAAACTATATAAACTATCTACAAATCTAATGCTAATTATTTACCTAATGGGACATACATTTTATGTAATATTTTATACATTTAAGTGACTTGTTTTGTTTAATTATGTATGTGCGTTTCTGGACCGTTCTCTTTAACATTTTTTTTATTTATTTATTCATATATATTTTTTTGTATATGTTTATGGAAGTCAGGTACTTTTAAAGTATTTTTTTTTTGTTTAAAACAGATTTCTTTTGAAAATGAGTCCTCGTGATCATAGAGATTAACCTTAAAAGTTGAATGAAAATTAAATGCACTCAATGACTAAATCTCATGTATTGACATATTAATTCCACAAGGTGAGGATGTTTGTCATGTTTTCTTTTAAATCAATTACCGTACACCAAAAGTTTACTCATATTCATTGCCATAACTTTATACATGTAAACATTAATGGTCTTTACAAAAGTAGTTTTAATAAGAAGAATGATGTCAGACATTACAGATGTCACACAGATGGACATTTGCTTCGTTTAATGGTGTATTAACCTAATAAAAAAATACAAATATTTAACTAAGGGGATCCAAGGAACAAAAAAAAAAAAACAAAAAAAAAACTTTGTAGTCAAAGTCAACTTTATTATCAAAGCTGCAATATGTACAGGACATACACAGGATTTAAATTTCATTACTTTCAGATCCCTGGTGCAACAATAACCATTTAACATTTAATAAACATTAGCATAAAATAATAAAAGTATGATACTATCCTAAATTGTAAGTATAGTAGTATAAATATAAAAAGTATATTGTAGTAACTTGGTTTATTTTTATAGTATGAGTGCGTCACTTACCCTTGTTTTTTTTTTTATGCGCCTGTCGGTGATTGGTTGATCGTCCCAAAAGGCCCCGCCCTTAATCCCGAAGAGCTTCCCTCTGATTGGATGTCGCACACGCCAGTAACAGGTGTCTTCTCCGCCTTTGTTTCAGAGCTCTCCGGCTGTCGGTCAGTCTGGAAAACCTGTGATGGGAGTTTTAATAATGGCGTGGACGTGGTGGGGGGCTGCCTGTCGCTCTCTGCCCACGTCTGTTAACATTAAGACGCTTTTAAGCATCAAAACCAGATTTTATTAGAGCATTGCAAACAGTTTTAACGAGTTTTAATATGTTAACTCACTTAGTAAATCTCGGTTGAAAGGCTCATCTACAAACTGTGAAACTACTGGCTTGTTTGTGGAAGCGCTTTATCATGTCGTTATTATGTGTCAGAGGTAAGTTTCATTTATATATTTTTATATTGTTTAAACTTTTTTATAAGCTAAACAAATTGTTTTTTTATGGAGTCATCTGCTCAAAACAAGAGCAGGCGTTATTCCCAGGCGGAGTGATCTGAATCAAAGTGACTTTTAGGATCTACCTGCGATTTTTACTGGACAAACTAGTTCTAAGAGAAATATTAAATGGACTGCTCACAGGTTGCTTTTCTAATTTGGATGGCAATTTTATTTTCCCCGTGCACGCATCGTACCAGCTGTTTGTGGTTTATACTGTTTACTTTGGCATATGACAGAAATATGTACAAATACAAGCGTGATATATTATGATTTTACTGAAGAACTACATTTAGGAAAGCCTATTTTAACTGGTATTGTAAAACAATTAACAAACAGGTATGCGCCCCCCCCCCCCCCTTTTTTTTTATTATTATTTTTTAGAAACATAAAGATTGCAACCCCTTTATTGAGCTTATGCAAGTGAAAGTGTTTCTTTAAAAAAAAAGTTTTAATCTTAAATAACAGTTGAAATAAATGAAAGTGACAGCTTGTTCTGTCTTCTTGTGCAGCTGGGGGTAAACAAAAGGGGTGGGAGCAGTTTAGCATCACTTGCAACAGCAAAGCACATTATGTAATATTTAGTTTTATGAAAAAAAAAAACTGATTTGGCCAAACATTATTATTATTATTTTTTTTTATGATGGGGAAAAATAAAAATCAAATAAGCTGCAAGTTCAAAACAAACAGGCCAGGCTTGCCCCACCAAACTGATTTAAAAAAATACTGTACTGTATTTTTCAGACTATAAGGCACACAAAACAATCAAATAAGTCAAACTTTATTCAACTCATTCACAATAACTCAACATTTTTCATTTGTATCACATAAAATACAAAACAAAACACTCAATACAAAACATACACATTTTTGAGCGCTGTGTAACACATGAAATCTGGTCGAGGTCAGTAACCACAACCAGAATTATTAAATAAGACGCACCAGATTATAAGGCTCACTGTCAGAAAAATGAAATGGATTTTAAGTGCGCCCTATGGTCCAAAAAATATGGTAATCTTTAGCAGTATTGAAATAATTCCATCGCATTGGCAGGCATCTAATTGTTTAACTGTTTTTATTGAAGATAATGTTGGACATATTTACTTTTTTTTGTTAAAAGAAAGAGTCATTTTCATATTTAACCACCAGCTCATTTGCTAACTTTTAATAGAACAACGTCTTATTTACCAAGGAAGTGGTAGAACTTTAAGTCATACATATCAAAGCCATATTTGTTACATTGGTTGGAGGAAAAAAAAAAATCTAAATGTTGTCTGATTACAGTCTGGTGTGTTTCTGTAGAAATGGCCTCTCAGAGGTTAGGAATAAAATGCCACTGAGCATTTGGGTCAAATGAGCTTTTATTGAGTTGAGAACTTGAGATTACAGTTGGCTTCATTTTAACATGGTGTTTAATTTCAGTTCTGAAAGAATGGCTTTTTGTGTTCTTGCAGATCTTCCCTTTTACCCCCCGCCTTTAAAAGTCACGCAAGCGAAGGAAACCATGTTAAATGGGTCAGCCTAAATCTCCAAAGCCTGTCTGAAAATCAGCATTTGTTGCCAGACGGGGTTTATGTTTGGCCGATCATCACTCGTCATTTGGATGTTAAAAATGCCACATGATGTTTTGATCTCCTCGTACTGTCTGTGCCAGGCTCGCACGAATGAATTAAAGTTCTCCGTTCGTCTCGTGTTTTAGAGTTTGAAGAAAACAATCGCTCCGTGTCACAAGAACTTTGAGCCTCGTGGCATTTAACAAACTCCATGTAATACTGTTCAAACGTTCTTTAAATCCCTCCACAATGTGATTGCGCAGCCCTGCAAATATTTACTGTTAGTCTTAAGTTACTTTAACACTCTTGTAAATGTCTCCAGGTCACCGCTGACTTTTGCAGCTCTCCTCTCATGCAGTTGTCGTGGAAATCACTAAATCTCTGATCCCAACCTATGAACTTCCCTTTAAAGTGAATTTCAGTCGTTTTTTTAGGAGGTTAATCAGAAGCGCTTGGCTGTCAAATAGACTTGTGTCTGACTTTAAAGGTTTCTGAACAGAAATGGCTTGGAAAGGCCAAGTATAATAAAAGCTAACCTGAAAGTCAAAGAAGACTTCACTACCATTAAAACGTGCAACATGATGAGTATAAAATTATTCAATTTCATAATGTTATATTTATTAGGAAAGAGGAAAGAGTGTGAGTAACCTGCACCATTGATTTATTATTGGCTGCCTGCAAAAGGCAATGGTGGACAATAATGTTTTTGCCTCTGCATGTGTTTGTGTATGTTAACAACTTATCTTTGATAGCATTAAAGCTTCCTTGAAATATACCCTATTATTAGTAGAGCTTGGCCAGTTGCTTTGGTGTGCATATAATTGTAAGGAGTGCAACACAATCTTATTTTCCATCTTGGCCTACTTTCTTTATTGTAAGAAAATATTGTTAACCCAATGGAACCTGCAGTAATGTATAAAGAAGTGATACTCATAAATAAATAGTGACAGGTTCATGTTTGATAGGATTGGTTCATGTGGTTTACAAGAATTGCCTCATTACATACATAACTGTTTATTTAATTAGGCTATAAAAATGAGCAATTTGGTGTCGGAATATACCGACATCTTGCCATGGCACAAGCAAGTTGTATCGTCTGAATAATTGTTTTCAAGTCTTCAGGGAGAACCATGGCTTTATAAAAACCTCCTAAAGTCTGCCAGGGTTCTCACTTTTGGACAATTTAAAAGCATTTGTGAAGCTCGGAGGAGGTTCACAGAATAAGAACAACACTGATCGGTGTTTCTCCTCAGTCACTTGGGTGGGTTGTGGGTGAAGGACATTTCGGCTGATAAATAAATTAAACAGAGATCACTGGGATTTGTATGAATTCAAGTTGGTTGTCCCAGGATAAAACATTTCAGTGCACTGCTACAATCTCAGCCCTTAAGTTCACTTGTTAAAATTTAATCAGTTTATTTTGCCCAATCTTTTTTGGATGAACCCAACCCAGTACCCCTTTCCCTAAACCTAACCCTCTGACCTTTGTCTTTAAACCAAACCCTGACCATAACCCCATCCTTTGACCCTAAACTTAATCTCGACTGCCAAGCCTTAACTTGGACACGGACAGGAACACTGCGTCCATCACCTATAAAATGCTTTCCATCCCCGAAGCCCTCGGTGGAGTGAGGTCATAGCTAGAGGCCTGGGCGGGGTGATAGGATTTGTGCAGGGGAGCTGGTGCAGTTATGGACTGCGGAGTGAAAGTAGTTAGGGTTGGGTTGTCAAGAATGAGAATCTTGAGGTTTTGGGTTTTTATTTTTAATCTTGGGATTTTACATTTAACATCGGTCACATGCTATGGCATTACTACGTTCACAGTCCAGGACATGGCAGAATCAGTAGCTATAGGCAGAGGCCATGCTGGTGTAAACGTGATGGAGCTGCTGCAGGATGGTTGAATGGACCCAACAACAGTTTAGTGGAATTATGAAAAAAAAAACAACAGAGAGAGGGAGAGAGAAGGATTGCTTAGAGATTGCATGAGTAATCTCCTGCCCATCTGTTGCTCTCTTTCGCTTCAATCCAAAGGCCACACAAAGTGGAAGTAGAACCCCACAGCGGTAGCTGTAGATCCTGTTGACACTTCCTGTTCAGACCTTTCTTTTCACAGATCACATTCTGTTTGGAAAGACTGAATTTCTTCTCAATTTTCTGTCAAAATTTGAACAGTGTTGATCTATCCATATTTGACATTTTACTTTTTTCGTAGCGATTTAGACATATATATTTTATACATTTTAACTGAAAATTAACCATACATTCAGTGGCTTTAAAGCCTCCCCAAGTTACTACACAATTAGCCAACGACTTAAGGTTAAAAATTCCCTTATTTTATATTTATGGGGCGGCTGTGGCTGAGTGGTTCGAGCAGTCGTCCTCCAATGCAAGAATTGGGGGTTCAATTCCACCAGCAGTCACATGCCGAAGTGTCCCTGAGCAAAATACTGAATCCCCCATTGCCTCCCATGTGTGTCCCATCGGTGTATGAAAGCACTGATTATTCTTTGTATAGATCTAGTAGAGTGCTATACGAATGGGTAAAATGAGGACACAGATTGTAGAGTAAAGCGCTTTGAGTATCTTGATAAGATAGAAATTGACTATATACGTATAGTCCATTTACTTATAGGTCTTGATGTGAATAATGTACTTCAATATTATTTTGTTTCACCTTTTCTAAAATGTGTATTTACTGTCACCATGATTTCTTCAGTTCTTTGGCATTTCGACCTATATTAACAAACAGAATCATTCCAGACATGGTGCCTACCCTACCATTATCCAAGGAGGGCACCCCGCCCTGTCAACAGTCATTCATTCAACCTTTATTTCTACAGGTTAGTTCCCATTGAGCCTCAATGACTCATTTACAAGAGAGACCTGTTGCATACAGACATACAAAGTAGATTAGGAAAAGAGAACACAAGAGGGTGGATGAGGTCAAAACAATCATATCTCACACCATGTCCTTGCCGGGGCACAGTGAAAGTTGCAAAAATAGACCTTTCAACATAAACGGCAACATACAAGGACATCATAACACATTTATGCAAGAGGAGGTCAACAAAGGTGTTGAGTTGTCCGTGGACACTGCCATAAAGTTCCATAGTTCTGATAAGATGGTACAGTGTCTATCAGCGGCTCAGTTCTGATAAGGCCCACAGATGTCCGCGGGAGAACCGGGTAGGAAGGGGGAGGAATTGAACCAAGTGCCCTGCCTACCCCCGTCAACAACCACCGGCATTAGTAACGTAGCACACCGCTTCTGCCAACTGCTAGCTCGGTACCTAATTTACCCATGGGGCGGCTGTGGCTGAGTGGTTAGAGCAGTCGTCCTCCAATGCAAGAGTTGGGGGTTCGATTCCACCAGCATTCACATAC